TTGCACTAGCAAGAATGAGGATACAAATAGCAAACCCTAGAAGGGTTGTACTCGCTATAGAGCACCCCACTACAGGCTAGAGCATAATATTCTGACATTTTACTGTTGCTGTTGCGGTTCGATACAGTGACGACTCGGGCAACTGCTCTGTAGCGAGTCAGTTGTGTGTCCTTGCTGTCGCGCTGTACTTGTCAGGTCAAAGGTCGCTGACCTTTGACTTTCGCGTAACCTCCAGCAGTTACTTCAACCTCCGAGGGTTGACTCGCTGGTGCCTCGATATGCTTTGCTTCGCTTGTGCCTTGGTGTTTCGACACGACAGAGGCGCTTAAGACCGATTGTTTCCAACACAAGTAAGGCGTCAAAGTGCAAGTGAGAAACAGCAGCAGTGTGTGGAAACAGCTTTTGTGGTCCTACTGTGTACCATTCTGTTGATATTCCAGTGCTTCACACGCGCAAGATGTCAAATAATGTTGGAGAACATACGATTACAACTTCTGTTGAATTATGCTGTGTGTTATCGCTCTTGAATTTCATTGGACTAAAAAAACATCTGTTGGATGAATATGCAGCAAGGTGGGAATAAAATAAGAACAAAGAAAAACTCAGGGAACTCTTTCTGAGATGTTTCCAGCGTGAAGTCCCAAGTCTTATATAAATGAATGCCGCCATGATACACACCCTGGTCATTTTAGGGGTCTTATCTTACCGTATATCCGGAGGACTCTGGTTTAGCGTTACATTACCTTAGTGTGACTCAACACATTGGTATGCGAAGGGATATGCAGAGTTATCAATGGATTGCATTGATCATGAGTCATGACTCAAGTCGGGGCAGATGCGGGTCTCTACTCAATGATCATGGCACTCATGCACGAGCCACAACTTGCTCGCTGCCCTGCCTTGCTGCTGGTGCTGTTGCTGCTGCGGCTGCCGCTGCTGCTGCTGCACGAAGCCGTGCGATCAGCCTTCTAGCGGCTGGGGAGGGGAGCTTGCCAGTGCAGGCATGTGGGTGGGATGTGGAAGAGGAGGAAGGTGAGGGTGGGGACGAGGAGGTGAGGGAGGAGTCAGACAAGCTGCGAGGTGGAGGAGGGTGAGGCTTCAGACAGGGAGACGATATAATGGAGGCTGATGGGGAGCAGGAGGAGGATTGCGAAGAGGATGGGGAGAAGGACGAATCAGTGGAGGGTGATGGGGAGAGCGAGGAGGATGAGGAAGAGGAGGAAGAGGGCAGTTGCAAAGTAGGAGGGGAATGTATGGAGGCTGCGGCGTGGATCTTGAAAGAAGAAGATCGGCCGGAGTAGGAGCCATGGGTTGTGACTTGCTGCTCCTGCAGTTGCTGGTGCTGGTGCTGCTGCTGCTGCTGGTGCTGCTCCCTCTTGCTGCAGGGAGTAGCATAGCCGCACCTTTGGCCACAACAGATAGCATTCGGGTACCTCCCATCAGTGTCACTGCAGTATTTGTCAGCATCAGTTTGCAGGTCAATCACCCGCCTCACCTGCACAATGCTGTTAAATGACACCCGCCGGACAAGCTTTTGGCTTGCAACGTATTGCGGTCTCTCCCGTGCTAGTTTCGGGCAAAGGCATGAGTATTTCACACTCGGGCTCCGCCAAACCTGACCTTCTGATTCGAAATGCCTCAGCTGGCTTGGAGTCGAAGATGCCTCCAGGGTTGGTTTTAGGGCTCCTGACGGGGCTTGTGCCAGGTCTATTGGACAGGTTCGGGTGGAGGGCAGGTGCGGAGTATCTACGAACGATCCCAGGCCTCGGAACCATAGTGATAACTTGAGAATGCTGGATGTCGAAAGAGTGGGAGGAAGAGAATCCACAGGTGCGACAGTGAATCTGGTTGGAGGAGGAAGAAGATTCGTTTGAAGAAGCAGTGACAGAAGAGGGAGACAATGATGCAGAAGCGGCAGCAGAGACAGGAGAGAAGTGAAGCGAGGGGGTGAAAAGAATGGATCGGGCAGAGGGAGTGAAGGAGTGATGCGATTCGGGGCGCTCTTGGTCCGAGCGCAGAGCTAGCTTCCAGAGAGGAAGGGAAGTGCTGCGAGGGACACTGCGAGAGACAAGCGGCGGGTGGGAGGAGGAGCGAGGAGGGATGGGGCGTCTGCTGGCGTTGGGCGGCAAGACGTGCAAGCGATGATGATGGTGCTGCCCGCGCTGCTTATCATGCTGCTCATCGTGGTGGTGACGCTGCTGTGCCTCTCGCGCTAGGCTTGTCGATGGGCCTCTTCCTGTGTAGGCTGTGCCTACCAGAGATCCTTTTGCTGCCGCTGCTGCTCTTGCTGATCCTCCTTTTAATCCTGCCGCCGCCGCCGCCGCTGCTGCTGCTTCTGCTGCTGCTTCTGCTCTTGAGATAAGGCGTGGCGCTGCCTTCACCTGAGCCGCCACGAAAGGTGGGGGCGAGGCGGCACAACCTTGTGTGCCAGCCAGGATTTGAAACCGGGGCCTGGCCACGGGAGGGCCGCCATGGTGGTTGTTGTCTCCCCTCGCAGTCGCCGCAGTTCTCACCGTCGTTTCAGGCCGCATGTGGGCCTCGAAGAAGCTGTCAGCCAGGATTTGAACCCGGGGCCGCGCCGCGGGAGGGCCGCCATGGCGGTTGTTGTCTCCCCCTGCTGTCCTCCTCACCGTCATCTCAGGCCGTCGCGTATGGGCCTTCAAGCTGTCAGCAGCAGCAGCAGCAGCAGCAGCACTGTGCTGCTGCTCGGACGCACTGATAACCATCACCGCCGCGTTCGCTTCTACCCACCGGCGGCGATGGCACGATGATTGAGTGGAGGCCATGATATGATAGTAGTAGTAGTAGCCGTTGTACACTCGCACGCACGAGACGAGACGAGATGAGCCGAGCGAGCCGCATAAACTTGCAAGGACACAGAGGAGTGGTACTTCGCGGCCCCACGGTGACGACGCAGCGCAGCACCACAGGTTGTTGTCAACTTGTCAGACTTCAAGTATAACTTTGGTTTGGTGGAAGCGGGTTCAAGAAAAACTTGAAGAACCCGACAGGACTTCAAGTATTAGTACCTGGCTTCTGGCTTGGATTGGGGTTGCAGGAATGTGGACTGAGGAGATTGAACACAACAGAAGCCTGCGTGACTACCGTACTTGTAGTGACTGTGGAGACCAGAACCCAACAGAACCCAACAGAACCGAGAAGGCTTCTCTCTCGCAAAAGGAGCAGAACGCTGGCACCGCTGATGCTGACCACATTCTCGTGAAGCCCATACAACGAACGTGGGTGGTAAAATGGTGTCTCCAATGAGGCGCCCGGAAGAGAGGCGCGAAAGACTCCTTTGGGGACACTTTTCCCAAGCGTTTCAAGCGTCCAGCAAGTTTCCCGCAAGCGTCTAGACCAGAAAGCCTCCTCCCTTGGGGAGGGGATCATGTTCCCGGAAGGTACATTTTGCCGTCGGAGAATGCTGAACTAGGAACTCAGTACACCATGCTGCTTGATTCGGAACTACAGTATCATGCTGCTGCTGTTTCTCCCCCCACACGCCACCTTCCGCGCAGTCGGAATCTGGCAAGCAGGTGGGCGGATAACCCGCTCTTGAGTGGGCGGGATGCTAGGTTGCGAGGCGAAAGTTCAAAAGCCCCTGAAAATCCGGAAATCGTGATGGAGAAACCAAGACGGATCGAGGAGAGAGAGGCAGTACAGTACCGTGAGGCGGTTCTTACTGCAGAACCGGTGGCTTCCCTACACGTGGAGCCAGTCGGGATACTGTACAGTGCGCGCGGTGGCTTCGCTACACGTGGTGTAAACCGCATCATGGGATTTTATGATGATTGCGCGATAAAGAACTAACGGTGAGAAATTCCGAACTGCGTGGCCAGCGAGTTTTGAGAATTCTCCAAGACTAGCTGAGTGGTCAGCAGTGACTTGACTTGTCACAAAAAGGCAGTGCGGCTCTTGGTTAGAGGATGTTTTCACGGTTGAAACTTCGAAACGATACCGTTGCTGAGGTGTGGTGTCCGTTCGAAACGCCATCGCGCCCACTCAATATGCACCCACCACTCGTACTAGTACTGTACTGGCAGTACTAAAACAGTAGAACGATCACTTCGCACGAGGCGCGGCTACAACAGATTCCAGCCCTAATGCCACGTGTCCAAACGGCATCACTTCTGCTGTAGTATCGGAATTAGTCAAGGACCAGCCCAGCCTCCGTGCTTCGCTTCGCTTTCTACCAACCTCGGAAGCGGCGCTCCGTGTTCAGTGGTGCACGCACGGTAGGACTTGTAGCATTGCGAAGTGTTCTAGTAGCGTGGTACCAGTCAGTAGTGGAAGCGGAAGTGGAGTGGTAGTGGCAGCACAGAACGGGTCAGACCTACGTTTTCAGGCGAAATATCAAAGTTCAGACTGGTGGATAGCGGTTCAGAGCGGTGAAGTAGGCAAACCGTTCTAGAACGTACAGGATCGTCTTTCACCGCGTACGATGAACTGAAATTGAACGAAGTGTGACCCGCCCTCACAACACAACAAATGCGAACGAGTTTCCAGTACAGAACAAATCAGTACTCGATTCCACCTGCTCAACTTTCACCGCAACCTTTGCTGGCTACGAAAATGAGAAAACAGGAGGAAAATGAAGAATGGAGAGATTTTTCTGTAGACACTTTTTGCACCAGTAGTTCCGATTTGCAGTAGTAGTGGTGATAATTCTGTAATACATTTGCAGTACCGCAATAGTCATCCCAGACAGTTTAGTGGACCTGCTTCTTGGCAAGGGGATTTCCAAAGTTTAAATCGCATGTACCTACTACTCAATTGTGCATGTATTTATCACCAAATGTTCATTGGCTTAAACATCTGTATAGAAGCAGCCATATACCGCCTCCCAAGTCTCCAGTCAACCGCCCTAGCTTCAAAAGCAGAATACTAAGCAACCCCTGCAGCTGCGCTCCCTTCAGTTCTTCAACCCCCGATCTCCACCCCAGACCAGACCAGACCAGACCAGACCATACCAGACCATACCCGACCCATCATCACCACCCCTATTCATCTGCCGCAGCCGCCTTCTTCTTTCTCTTCTTCTTTTTCTCCCCATCCCCATCTCCACCACCATCCCCACCAGCAACAGGCACAGCGAGGAACGCCTCTGCACCTTGCCCCTGGACGGACCGAGAGCCAGCAGCAGGTTTGCTGGTCTTCTCCTTGAGGGCCTTGGCCATGGATGCCACGTCCTCCGATGTGACCTTGTTGCTGCTGCCCGGTGCGGCCTTGCCTGCTGCTGTGTTCTTGCGCAGCTGTAATGGTGGAGTGGGGAGAGCGGAGAAAGGGGCGCAGAGAGGAGTTCAGGAAAAGGGGTATTGAGTGGAGGCGAGCGGGGGCAGGTGGGGCAGGTGGGGCAGGTGGGGCAGGTGGGGCAGGTGGGGCAGGTGGGGCAGGTGGGGGGGCAGGTGGGGGGGCAGGTGGGGGGGCAGGTGGGGGGGCAGGTGGCTGGAGGACGCACCTTGGGGGGTTGGAATGCCTCCTCTCGCTTCCGCTTCTTCTCCTCCACCGCCTCCTCCTGCTTCTCCATCTTCTCTGCGTGCTTCTTGGCCGCCTTGCGCTCCGCCGACAGGAAGTACTCGCCGCTCTCCAGCGCCAGATCGATCTTGCTCGGCTGCTGCGGCGGCGGGAAGGGCGTGTACGGCTTCTTGACCTTGCTCTTAACCTTCTTGGTTTGCACGTTCTTCCTGAAGTGGGGGGAGTGTGGGGGGAGTGGGGGGAGTGTGGGGGGAGTGTGGGGGGAGTGTGGGGGGAGTGTGGGGGGAGTGTGGGGGGAGTGGGGGGAGTGTGGGAGGAGTGTGGGGGGAGTGTGGGGGGAGTGGGCGGAGTGTGGGCAATGAGTGTGGGGTCACGGTGGTGGGTTTTGAGTCGATCCAAGTCGCCTCAAGGAGGACGTGTACGGCTTCTTGGCCTTGCTCTTGACCTTCTTAGTCTGCACGTTCTTCCTGAAGTGTGGGGAGTGGGGGGGAGCGTGCGTGAGTTGGGGTCACGGTGGTGGGTTTTGAGACGATCGAGTCGCGGCGGGAAGGGCGTGTAGGGCTTCGTTGCCTTGCTCTTGACCTTCTTAGTCTGCACGTTCTTCCTGAAGTGTGGGGAGTGTGGGGGGAGTGTGGGAGTTGGGAGAGTGGGGAAGCATGGATAAACAGTGGGCAGAAACCAGTTTCAGTTCTCCGTTCCACTTCCAGATGTCAATTCAGCAAACCATTCTCAAGTCAGTGCCCCCAATGCGTGTCACCAACCCATTTGCCCCAGCAACCATTGTCCCTCCCGCCCCTAAACAGCATATTACTTTTTGAAGGTGGGCAGGAAGCGGTCCCAGATCTCCTCCTTGAGAGATGGGTCCTTCTCCAGCTCGCGCTTTATCATCAGAGTCTGGAGGGGGAGGAGAGGACAGTAGGAGATATGAGGGAGTTTGCGAGGGTTTAGAGAGTACAAGAGAGCGGGAGGGGGCGCCAAGGCTGGAAGAACAACCCAGATCTCCTCCTTGAGAGATGGGTCCTTCTCCAGCTCGCGCTTTATCATCAGAGTCTGGAGGGGGAGGAAGGACACGAGGAGGTGTGGAGAGGTGTGGGGAGGTGAGGGAGGAGTGAGGGAGGGGTGAGGGAGTGTATGCAGTGGAATACATACGTGCATACATACGTACATACATCCATCCATGCATGCATGCATGCAGAGGGCAACCTTCATGCCCCATGCCACAATTGCATGCAGCAGAGCGATGCGTATTTGACTTGTAGCCTATTTTAGGCTACATGCATGCATGCATGCATGCATTCAGAGCGCACCGTCATGCCCCAAGCCACAAGCATGCTGCATGCATGCGTGCATGGAGCAGAGCGCACCTTGATGTGGTAGATGGGGTGGATGTTCTTCATACAGTCCTCCACAATGCGCCTTTGACTTGGGGCCTATCCCAGACTACATGCGTGCATACATACATCCATGCGTGCATGCAGAGGGCAAACCTCATACCCCATGCCACAATCATGCGTGCGTGCATGCATGTAGAGTAGAGAGCACACACCTTGATGTGGTAGATGGGGTGGATGTTCTTCATACAGTCCTCCACAATGCGCCTCACTGCCTTGAGCCCCCGCGGCGTGCCGATTCCTGACACCGTGTTGCCCTGCCGTGGGGATGGACGGTGACGAGAGGGTGATGAGAGGGTGATGAGAGGGTGATGAGAGGGCGGTGGGAGGGCCATGAGAGTGGGGGTGTGAGGGTGGTGAGAGGGAAGGGTGGTGGGAGATGGCGGTATGGGTGATGGTCCAAGGGAGTTAAGAAGAGTTTAACATAGGGAAGCAACAAACGTGGGAGGGACAGAGATGAGGGAGAGATGAGACAGAGATGAGGGAGAGATGAGGGAGAGGTGAGGGAGAGGTGAGAGGTACGGCACCTCTGTCCCTCGGCACAGCACAGCACGGCCAGGCCACATCATGGCACGTCCCCAGCACAGCACCGCACAGAACCGCACCTGAACGAGCACGTAGCAGCCAGTGAGCAGCTCGATAGCCTTGAGCGTGGAGCCATTGGGGCCCAGCAGCCGCTGCCGCCGCTTCACAAACCGCTCCTGTTGATGCGAGGGCGAGCGGGGGAGCGAGAGAGGAGGTTGTTGAGTAGGTTACGGGGGAGAAGAAGGGGAAGAAGAGGAGGGGACGATGGGGATGAGCGAGGAAAGGAGAGGAGGATAGGGGAAGGGAGGGAAGAACAGTTATGAAGAAAACGGGGGGAAACATCAACAGTTCTTTTCTCACGAGATGCTAGCTACGTCCGATGGTGGAAGAGAGAGAGTGACGGTGACAGTGCATGGCTAAATGGCAGTTACCTTGCTGCGAACCATTCCGCCAATCTTGATAATGTCGCAGTATGTCTCATCGTCCAGAATTTTCAACGCCTGCCATGCCCGCAGCCAGGGCAGCAGGAGGGAGAGCAGGCCAGGGGGGAAGGGGGACAGGGTGGGATTCAGGGACAGGGATATAGGGCGAGAGAGGGGACCATCCCGCCAATCTTGATAATGTCGCAGTATGTCTCATCGACTGGGATCTTCAACGCCTGCCATGCCCGCAGGGGGCAGGGGAGACAGGGAAGGGGGGAGACGGAGGGGCAGGGAGACAGGTTCGTGGTTGATGCAGGGGTATGAGAGCGTTCTTGTGTGAACAACCACAATACACACACACCCACATTCACAGCCGCGCACCTGCGTGACGGGCACGGAGCGCGAAAGCAGCTTAATCATATCCACCCCCTTTATTACCCCTCCCTCCCTCCCTCCCTCCCCATCCACAACAGGACCACCAAACTCACCCCCGCACTAATTCCAAACCCCACGAGCGCCCACCTGCGTGACGGGCACGGAGCGCGAGAGCAGCTTGATGAGATCCCGCGCGCGCACGATGATGTAGGGGTCGCGCGTTTTGCGCGTGGTCTTGACGGTCATGCTGCCCTCCACCAGGTTCAGCTCGCACGCCACGCCGAACTCGTTCAGCGCGCGCGTCACCTCCGGCCACGCCTCGCGGAGATATTTCTCTGAAACAGGAAGGGGAGGGGGAGGGGGGGAGCGGGGCAGAGGGGGAGCGGGGAAGGGCGAGAGCAGGGGAGAAGGGAGCCTTTTAAGGTGGTTTAAAATCGCCTCCGACCACGCCTCGCGGAGATATTTCTCTGGGAAGGCGGGGGAGGAGGGGTTGGCGGGGTGGGGGGGAGGGGGGAGTCGGTGTGGGTGGGGGGAAAGCGGGGGCGGGGAAGTGGCGGCGAGGATGGGGGAGAATTTTGTAAGGCGGAAAAACGTGTAACCTCGATACGGCAGCGCACCGCGCGATAAAAAGCGCTTCCCAAAACAGCGTCCCAACCTCGATACAGAAGCGCACCTCCGTAGAGCGCACTCCAACTCCGCGCATTTACGACACAGAAGCATACCTCGCTGTGACGTCGCACCCCGCTACAGCGCACCTCGCTATATAGAAGGTCGCACTCGCACCTCGGTACTGCGGAAACAGCGTGGCGAAGGAGCTCTCCTCCAGCAGCCCCGTGGGGTTCCACGCGGGGTCGAATTTCTCCACCTTCCAATGCTCCACGTCATCTGTGTCCCACGGTTTCGGCTTCCGGTACTTCTTATGGTCCTTCGGCGCAGCTCCTCCCGCTCCCGCTCCCGCTCCGTTTTGCGCGCCGCCATGGCTTCCCCGCCCCCCCTCCGCGCCGTCCTCCCCCCCGCCACCGCCTCTTCCCTTATTCCTACCCATGCCTATATGCGGTGCCGCGCTACGATGTGCTGTATTGACGAGAATGCAGTTACCAAATGGTTGCCGTTTCAAGTGTGGATGCTGTGGCGGCGAGCGAAGGCAGCGCTAATCGCGGAGCAGAACAAGGACGGAAAGAACGGAGAATCGAGTGACGATAGCAAGAATAGCTAAGAACTTAAGACAAGCAAATCATTATCAATCAGAGGGGTTCGGGTTTCAGGTTATCGGGTTCAGGGGAGAGAAGGCATGACTGCGGGGACGCTAACGAAGATTTACGGGAGAGTTACCCCCCGCGAGTGGAGTCACAAATCTCGTCGGGGACAGGAATAGTGGCGAAACGGTGTTGGCGAAGTGTTCTGGAAAGGTCTGCTTTGATGGGTGATGCTGTCCTCGCTGGGACATGCACCGACAAATTTAATGTAACGCAACACATATCCGCAGAGCATTTAGCACTACCGCACAAAAAAAAATATGGGTGATGATGAACCAGAATAGCATTTCAAAAAGAGACAACACCATCTACCAATGGTCTCGCTAAACAGAATTCAACAAGCCACGGAAACCTCAGCTTCCTGTTGTCGCTTCCTATCCTCTTCAAGCATGGCCTTGATGTAGAACTCTCCAGCACGATACGAAGAGCGAACCATGGGGCCGGCAGCAACATATCGGAAGCCCTGCATAATGAGAGACAAGCACGACAAGAACAACTCGCGGCCGTCAGGATCCTCTTACCTTGCACAGTGTGGCACTCCCTACAGAAAAAATCAAATCCCGCAGCAAGAATCAACGTGCGTAACTTAATAAAATCCGTTTTTCCATACAGTTTCATGCAACACAAGGTACTGGCACACAGGCAACTGGAGAAGCTCACCATTTCCTCTCCCACTTTCTTCCACTGGTCAAAGGCCTCGGGAGTGACATAGTGGCTGACAGGCATGTGGCGGCGCGTGGGGCGCATGTACTGCCCGAACGTCATCACATCCACCCCTGCTGCTCGCACTGCCTCCATCGTGCTGAGAACCTGGGAGAGGGAAGTTGAGAAGGTGGGAGGAGGGGAGGGGTTGGGTGTGCGTGTGTGTGTAACGGGCGCATGTACTGCCCAAATGTCATCACATCCACCCCTGCTGCCCGCACCGCCTCCATCGTGCTGAGAACCTGGAGGAGGGAAGTTGAGAAGGTGGGAGGAGAGGAGAGGGTGTGCGTGTCTGTGTGTAAGGGGCGATGTACTGCCCGAACGTCATCACATCCACCCCTGCTGCCCGCACTGCTTCCATCGTGCTGAGAACCTGGGAGAGGGAAGTCGAGAAGGTGGGGAGAGGGAGGGGGGGAAGGGGGATGCAGCAGTGTCAGAAGAGTTTGACAAACACATCCAATTGCAAGAGACAACAAAGAGATCACTTACTTTATGTATGAACGCTATGCATGCACTTGCTTGCACTGCACTCGGTGAACCACTCGCCTTCTCCCCGCATCCCACCATAAAGGCCTGTTGTGATGAGCATCCCTGGCCCTGTTTTTCTAAGTTGAGCTTAGCATAGGCATAATTTTCACCTGCTCAGGAGTCTCCCCACATCTGAGCATGGTAGGCGACTCTGCGTGTCTCCCTAGCCCCTCACTTTGACTCAACAAGAAAATGCCTCACCTGCTCAGGAGTCTCTCCACACATCCCAGCATGATCGACAGCTTGGTGAGCATGCCAGGCTGGCCGCGTGCATTTGAAGTCCGACTCAATACACACAAACGGCTCACCTGCTCCGGGGTCTCCCCACATCCCAGCATGATCGACGTCTTCGTGAGCATCCCTGGCCCGCCCCTCTCCCTGCCCTCGCGGGCCATCTCCTTGGCAAGGCGCAGTGTTGTTAGCGACTGCTCAAAGCCGGCGCGCGGATCCCGGACAAACTGCTGCAGCTCGCGCACGGTCTCTATGTTGTGCGCGTACACGTCTAGACCACTGTCCACCACTCGCCGCACACACTCCGCTGACCCCCGGAAGTCCGGCACTGGAGGAAGGGAGAGGGTTCCAATCCAAGAAAGGAAAAGGGTTGGGGGAAATGGAGGTGGGGGGTGGAGGGGGGAGAGAGAGGAGGAAGGGAGATGAAAAGGCACTCTGGCGGCAGAGTGAGGAATGTTTGAGGGGGAGAGGGAAGAGGATGTGACAGCTTGCTGCCGTACAATTCTTCTTACATAGAAATGTTTCATTCGTGGATAACATTAATATTGCTTGCTTCTCGGCTGTCATGTCAGAAGTGGACGAGCTATGCTGAGCACATGTCTTTGGAGTGCCCCTATTGTGTGCCCCACCCCACCCCACATTGTTCTATCGCACACTCATGCTCAAAATCCCTAGCAGCAGCCCAGTAGGCTGGTGATTACCCGGCCCTACCCTTCCCTCCGCTCCGCCACTCCGCCTTCCCGACTTCACCTCACCCCCCTCCTCCGCCTCTCTAATTCGCGTCCCTCACTCTTCCACTCACTCTCTGACAATTCTCACCACCCTGCCCACTCTTGCACATGGGACTTAAGTGCCAACTGTTAAGTGCCAACTGTTTCTTGATGCCTCAACCCCCCCTTCCCACACTCACTCCTACACCCCCCACACTCACTCCCACATCTCCCATACTCACCCCCTTCCTCACCATTGACTATCACACCTCTCACACTCACCCTCACACTCTCTCCCCCACTCTCCCCCTGCTCTCACCCTCACTCACCCAGGGCCTGCCTCCACGAGCATGTCAGGGCGCCGCTCCTTGCGCCCAGTGATAAAATTACTTCAATGTTAGTAGGGTCAATTTTACTCGGTTCCCTCCCTCGCCCCAAATGCACTCACCAAGCGCCTCCACGAGCATGTCAGGGCGGCGCTCCTTGAGGCGAATGATGGTTTCCGCGAAGTGCCCGCTGCCCTGGTCCGCCAGATCGTCGCGGTCAACGCTGGTCAACACGATGTACCCCAGGCCCCACTCGCCCACCGCGTCCGCCACCTTCCGCGGCTCGTCCGCGTCCGGGGGAGGCGGGTTGCGCGCCGTCTTCACCGCGCAGAACCTTGAAAGCCGGGGGGAGAGGGGGCGGAGGGGGAGAGGGAGGGCGAGGGGGAGGGGGAGGGGGAGGGGGAGGGGGAGGGGGAGGGGGAGGGGGAGGGGGAGAGGGAGGGGGAGGGGGGGGGGGAGGGGGAGGTGTGGGGGGTGGGGATGGGGGGAGGGTAGAGTGGTCGGGAACGGAACAGGGAAGTGGGGAAGCGGGAGCGGACATGGTTCACCAATTGGCTTGTGACGCGATAAGAGGTAGCCTCCTTCCTACAGTCTGAATTAAAAAAAAAAAAAAAAAAAAAAAAAAAAAAAAAAAAAAAAAAAAAAAAAAAAAAAACTCCTAGGAACAGCATTACCAGGAGCACCAGCACACCTGCAACCGCTTTTTAAAAGTCTCGATGGTAATAGTGAGCCAGCATACCTGCAGCCTCGCGTGCACGTGTCGCCAAGGATCATAATAGTAGCCGTTGCGCCCTCGCCCTCCGGGCCGCTCCCTCCCCAGCACTCTCCTAGGTTCGGGCACCGCGCCTCCTCGCACACCGTATGCAGCTTTAACTCACGAAGCCGTTTCTTAATCGCCACGAATTTCTCCCCTCCGGGCAATACCTCCCGCTTCATCCAATCAGGCTTTCGCCGCCTTTCCCGCGGCTGCACTGCCTGCACCGCGTACACGCCTCCTAGACCCAATCCCGCGTCGGCCTTCACCAATCCGCGACCGGCCCCAGCGGACGGCTGAGATTGCACGTCTCCGCCGGACTCGCCGTCCTGATCCCCATCTCGCTTCCGCTGAGCACCTAAGATGAAATCGCCGAGGCTAGGGGAGTCTGGACCGGCGAGGCGTTCGCGGAGAGACGCTAAGGTGTGTTGCTGGCGGGAAAAGGCGATGGATGCGGTGGGTGGAATGCACGGATGGTTGGACGGAAGGTAGGAAGAGTAATGTGATCTTACTTGTTCTTGATTCACGGACTGAACGGACGAATTGGCGGAAATTGACGGCTCCGAAAGAGCAGATCCTGAAGTTAACGACGTGGACGATCGGCTGGTGCGCGGAGGCGGGAACGCGGAGGCATCGGCGGAGGGGTTGGCGGAAGAGTGGGTGGCGGAGAGCGAGGCGGACTGGACAGACGCGAGAAGCGGGGAGAGAGGGATGGAAAGAGCTGGTGTTCTGGAGCGGATGTGACGGAGCGCAGCCATGTCTGTTGATTAATCCCCTCGGGGACACTGGAGAAAGGATAGGTCCGAAGAGGGTGGAGACAAAGCAGCCTGTCTCTTCCCTTGGATTGCAACCAAGGCAGCTACGGCTGAGGCTGTGGTGGAGTCGAGACAGGAGCTCGAGCAGACAGCTCGAACCAAGCAGTCAGGCAAATCGGAGTTTGAAGCTCAGATTTCTGGGGCTGGCTTTACTTCAAAAGGAGCTCTCGGTGTGAATGAACGGTAAGGGAATGAAAGGCAGAAACAAATCCCGAGGGACCAACAATTTCCCTGTGTCTCAGTTGCACTGCTACAACAAACAGCTTTGTAAGGTCCAGTGGCAAGAACCAGCCGAAGCTAACGAATAGGGAGGGACTTCTACTAAACGAGAAGGCTTAGCTAACAGAGTCACATTACAATACTCCTAATACCAGTTCGCTGACCCGAGTGCTACCCAACGAACCAGCACAAGCGCGTACGTAAACGGCCACAAGGATGAACCAGCGTAATCATAACACGTCACCAGCCTCTGCTGCCACCGTGTCCGGGCTGTCTGCCCAGAGAAAAAGTGCGCCCTGGCCCCTGGGCATGAACCCTTCCAGCCATCTGCTGCTTTGCTTGGCTGGGAATTGTTCACGCATTGTCTGAACTGCGATGTCAGCCGCAAAACATGAATGTTTGCGTCTATTCGCAGATGTGTACAGTTTCGCCATGGTCAAGCTTATGATACGAAGAGCAACAGAAACATAATTACAACATAAGGGACAGCAATAGCATGGCCCTAATGTGTTCCAAAAACAAATCAATGAAACAAAACTAAAGGTGCACACAGCACCCAACTTAGATGTAAGTTTGTGCCCACCTCAAATATCACAATTTCCCATACGGCTGCACCACCAGAGGAACCCTCACTGCATGCATGTTATTGTCCACCCACGTTATTGACCCATATGAGAAGCCATTCATACCTTTCAAAACCTTCAGCTCCACAGAAAACGTGACCTTATCCCCCGGCGCAATAGTGAAAGTAGATGGAGTGACAGTAACCTTCACCCTTGGAGGCGGAATAACTTTAGCCACATAAGTCGACGCCACTGAAGCCACATTCGTCACTGTTCTCGTCACCGTAACCCCGCCAAACAGCTTCGAAACCGAAATCGACGGCCGGTTGAACTTGTAAGCAGGCTTGATCGGCGAAAACGTCGTTACACTCGGAAACGTATCCTTGGCGCGCTGCAAATCCAGCCCGGCGAGAAAATTCACATTGTCGTCAAACATAATGTCGAAAACCAGCCCAGGATCGCCAACCCTAGGCGGGTCCACATGCCCCGAACCTAGCTCCCACGCCGTCGCCTCCTTATTCAACGAATTCTTCATCGGCTTCACCACACGGTACGTGTATCCCCCTCCACCGCTGCCACTCGTCCCCGGCTTCCCCCCCGCCGCCCCCGACGATGACACAACCATGGTCCGGATATCCGAGGGCAAACCTCCGGGAGTGGCCGTAGTCATAACCGCGGACATAACCCTCGCCGGAGACCAGTCCGGATTCATCTGCATGATCAGCGCGACGATCCCTGCCACATGCGGAGTAGCCATGGATGTTCCAGAGAGCTGCGAGTATTGAGCAGGCTCGGATCCGTCCGTAGTGGTGGATATCCACGCTCCCCAGAGGTTCACTCCCGGAGCGACAATGTCGGGTTTGAGGATGTCGTTGGTGGGGTAGACGGGCAGTTGCGCACTGTCTGGGTCTGCCACCGGGCCCGTGGAGGAGAAGGCGGCGAGGGCTGGTGCCTCGTCAAACGCTGCTTCTACTTCTGTGCCCATTGTGGCGAGGGGCCTGGTGGTGAAAGCGGAAGGGCGCAGGGGAGGGGGGAGCAGGGACAAGGGGGGAGCAGGGACAAGGGAGGAGGGACAAGGGAGGAGGAGAGGGGAGAGTGGTCAGGAAGAGACAAGGAGCAGGTGCTGGGGGGGGATGAGGGAGAGAGCGAGAAAAGTGATGGATACGCAACAACCAACCAAGCACGAGGGCCCTAACTCCCACCTCCCTCTCATTCACCTCTCTACCACATGTGAGCTCCTCCTCTGCTACAGCCTTTTTCCAAGCATCTCAACCCCCCCACAGCTCAAACCCCGCAATCCAAAACCCGGAACCTGACATTCCTCCTGCTCAAGACGCCACTCAAGCTCTCTCTCCCTCCCTTCCTCCCTCCCCCTCCCTCCCTCTCTCTCACTCACTTTTTGGTCTTCTTCATGTATTTCGCCAATAGCGCAGCCTGCTCCAGCGAGAAGTGCACATACGGCAGGGGCGGCCCAGGAACCACCGGGAAATTGGACGAACCACCCTTCACATTCACCAGCACCATGCCCACACCGCCCGCATCCTGCACTGCCAGAGTCTTGTTCCAAATCGGGTTGATCCCCCGCGAACAGATCACGATCTTGCCGGTCGTTTTGTTAGGGTTGAGAGAACCCTGCTCGCATAGATCGGCCTGCGGGAGGAGACGGGGGCAGAGACAGGGTAGGGTGGGGGGGTGAGTGGACGGGACGGGAGGGAGTGCCGGGGCTTGGATAGGGGAAGCGGGAGCACAGGAGCCGGACTGACGGACGACAAAAGAATGGGTCCTGTGCAGCAGGCACAGCAGGCACAGCGCTGCCTTTTGGAGAAACACAAGCATTCCCAGACTTTTGAAGCGCCTCAAAAGGAGCCTGTCGGACAGACGACAAAAGAATGGGTCCTGTGCAGTGCAACAGACAGAGCTGCCTTTTGGGAAACACAAGCATCCCCAGCCGCTCTGCCTGCCCTGCCGCTGTGGGCCGTTTTTTAGAATTCTCTACATCAACCTACGCTCTACCTGCTGCTGCTGCTGCTGCTGCTGCTGTGTGGTCTCACTCACCTGGTAGACGGTTTTCCCTGGAGCAATGGCGTTCCGGGAGTAGACCAAGGGCACGCGCTGAGAGACGGAAGCCGCTTCCACTGCACGCGCCTTGATGACTGCCCCGTTGCCCAGCGTCAATCGCACCACGAACCGCCGACCCATGCTACTGCAGAGGGGAGAGAAGGGTTAGGGGAGAAACGGGTGGGGGGGGCAAGGTCAGGGGGGCATGGGTGAGCACAGGGCAGGGCAGGGCAGGGCAGGGCAGGGCAGGGCAGGGCAGGGCAGGGCAGGGAAGTAGGGGGGTAAAGCAGGAGGGAGCAGGAAGGGGGTAAAACACGAGGGGGGAGACAGGGCAATAAAGGCGGGAAAGAGGGGAGACGGGTGCGCACCTGGCGCCGACGGTGAGGTAGAGGGGCGAGAAGGTAGAGAGCGTGGGGGGGGAAGGTAAAGCAGGAGAGGAGAGGGGAATCGCACCTGGCGCCGACGGTGAGGTAGAAGGGCGAGAAGTTGGAGAGCGTGCGGTACATGTTGCTGTTGGGCTCGGGGGGCGCACCGCTGTTGCCCGCCGCCAGCACCGCCAGGATGCCCGCCTGCGCGGGAAGAGGGAGAGGGGGGAGGGCGCGGGGGAAAGGGGAGGGTGCGGGGGGGAAGGGAAGAAGGGTGAGAAGTTGAAGAGCGTGAGGTGCACGCCAAAGTCGATCGCAGGGCAGGAGCGTAGCGTGCTGCTTTTGAGTCGACTCAAAAACAAAGTCGATTGCAGGGCAGGAGCGGAGTGTGCTGCTGGGGAGTCAAGAGGAGGACCGCTGCTGCCCGCCGCCAGCACCGCCGGGATGCCCGCCTGCGCGGGAAGAGGGAGGGGAGGAAGGGCGCGCGGGTGGGGGGCGAGGAAGAGCGTAGAGGAAGCAAGTCAGGAAGGAAATGTTACCAACCCCCTCTCTCCTCCAGTTCTGGCCTCCTCTGTTCTACCCTGACGTGAAACCCCTCCCACCCCCTCCCACCCCCTCCCACCGCCTCTCACCCCCTCTCACCCCCAAAGCACCCACCTTCTGGATGTTGGCATAGGGCACGTCGTTGAAGTAGGTCTCGTAATCACTCAAACTTCCCACGGACAGCGACACCACGTCCACGCCGTCCGCCACGGCCTGGTCCAGCGCCGCGTACAGGTCCGCCATGGATCCCGACGGCGGCGCGGGCTTCATGCTCCCGTCGCCCCCCCCGTCGGTCTGCGCCTGCCGCCACAGCACCTTGTAGATCGCCAGGTGCGCGCGCGGCGCCATGCCCGTCGCGTGCCCGAGCACGGTGGTGGCGGAGACGCTCACGGGGAGCTGCCCGTTGCCGCCCGCCACTCTGCGCGGGACGAGGGGAGGGGAGGAGGGGGAGGGGAAGCGAGAAGGGGGGAGGGAGGGGGGGGGGGGGGGCGGGGCGGGGAGGGGGAGAGAGGGGGGGAACAGGTGAGCGGCCAATGGTGTGCCCGCGCACGGTGGTGGCGGAGACGCTCAAAGGGAGCTGCCCGTTGCCGTCCGCCACTCTGCGCGGGGGGGAAGGCGGGGAGAAAGAAAGAGAGAGGGAGCAGGGGAGAGGGGGCCGGGAGGGGGTGGGACGAGGGGGGGTGGGGGGGTGAAGGAGAGGAGTGACGGAGAACGGGTTTAGGGTTTACAGGAGGAAGCGATGGGAGGGAGGGACGAAGGCGACAAAACCGGCACTTGAAGACGAAGGAAGTGATGGATGGGGGGGCGCGAAAGGGTGTAGGAGAGAGAGAAACAAGTGTAGGAGAGAGAGAAACAAGTGTAGGAGAGAGAGAAACAAGTGTAGGAGAGAGAGAAACAAGTGTAGGAGAGAGAGAGGAACGAACCCTCTGCATCAAGCTTCACCCATGCACCAGCAACGCACGCACCCATCCATCCACCCATTCAAGGCGACCACTCACTCACCCCGCACACCACGTGCCGTGCCCCGACGAGTCCCTGGGCGAGAGGTAGTCCGCGGTTTCGTCAACGGTGTAACCATTCGCGAGGTATCCGTTTACGAAGTGGCGCGCTGCGAGCACCTTGCGGTTGCACATCGCGCTGTTCTCCGCGGAACACGCGCCCGCCCACGTCGGGGGGGCGTCGGGGTACGGCTTGGTGGTCTGGGGGATGGGGAGTGGGGGGAGAGAGGAGTGGCGGGAAGGGGGAGTGCGGGGATGGAATGGGGATGGGCAGAGGAGTGTGGAAAGAAATGAAGAAGAAGCGAAACGAAAGCAAGGGCGGCAGGCGGGAAGGAAGGGCAGGCGGGAAGGAAGGGCAGGCGGGAAGGAAGGGCAGGCGGGAAGGAAGGGCAGGCGGGAAGGAAGGGCAGGCGGGAAGGAAGGGCAGGCGGGAAGGAAGGGCAGGCGGGAAGGAAGGGCAGGCGGGAAGGAAGGGCAGGCGGGAAGGAAGGGCAGGCGGGAAGGAAGGGAGGCGGGAAGGAAGGGCAGGCGGGAAGGAAGGGCAGGCGGGAAGGAAGGGCAGGCGGGAAGGAAGGGCAGGCGGGAAGGAAGGGCAGGGGGAAGGAAGGGCAGGCGGGAAGGAAGGGCAGGCGGGGAAGGAAGGGCAGGCGGGAAGGAAGGGCAGGCGGGAAGGAAGGGCAGGCGGGAAGGAAGGGCAGGCGGGAAGGAAGGGCAGGCGGGAAGGAAGGGCAGGCGGGAAGGAAGGGCAGGCGGGAAGGAAGGGCAGGCGGGAAGGAAGGGCAGGCGGGAAGGAGGGCAGGCGGGAAGGAAGGGCAGGCGGGAAGGAAGGGCAGGCGGGAAGGAAGGGCAG